ACTTACCATCTGAAAAACAAAGAGTGTGGATAACACTCAGAATACGGAAAGGCAGTTTCTGAAGAACTCTGTGCAAGTGTTGGTGCTTACAAAAACAAGCACATGCTCAAGAGTTACAACCATCCTGTGCAATTACTTCTGAGTAATACGCTTTGTTGTTTGTTGTGCTGCTCTTCTAACTGCTGAAACCTTGCGTGTGAAACTCAGGAGTCAGAGAGTAGTCATCACAGAAATGACTTCTTAAAATTCATGTGATTAATACATTACTGACTGCACAGATCTTCTGTTTTGCTGACTGTACAGTATCCAAGCAAGAGGTTATTACATTTGTCATCAGTCGTTTTATTCCATGCTGTATGTCATACGACTGTGTCATAGAATCATAGAATGGTTTGGGTTGGAAGGGACATCAAAGATCAACTAGTTCCAACCCCCCTGCCATGGGCAGGGAAACCCTCCACTACACCAGGTTGCCCAAAGCCTCATCTAGCCCGGCCTTGAACATTTCCAGGGATGGGGCATCTACAACTTCTCTGGGCAATATGTTCCAGTGCCTCACTACCCTCAGACTGAAAAATTTCTTTCTTATATCCAATCTAAATCTCCCTTCTTTCAGTTGAAAGCCATTACCCCTTGTCCTGTCACTACATGCCCTTGTAAAAAGTCCCTCTCCAGCTTTCCTGTAGGTCCCCTTTAAATACTGGACCTGGTGAATCCAGATCACCCCGGAGCCTTCTCTTCTCCAGGCTGAACAGCCCCAACTCTCTCAGCCTGTCTTCGTAGCAGAGGTGCTCCAGCCCTCGGATCATCTTTGTGGCCCTTCTCTGGACTCGTTCCAGTAGCTCCATGTCCTTCTTGTGTTGGACACTCCAGAGCTGAACGCAGCACTGCATGGGGGGTCTCAGGAGAGCAGAGTAGAGGGGCAGAATCATCTCCCTCGACCTGCTGGCCATGCTCCTTTTGATGCAGCCCAGGATACGGCCTTTTCCTCCGGGCTGCTCTTGATCCATTTTCTGTCCAGCTTGTGCTTGTGCTTGGGACTGCCCCGACCCACGGGCAGGACCTTGCACTTGTTCTTGTTGAACTTCATGAGGTTCGTACAGGCCCCCCTCTCCAGCCTATCAAGGTCCCTCTGGATGGCATCCCTTCCCTCCAGCGTGTCCACCACACCACGCAACTTGGTGTCATCTGCAAACTTGCTGAGGGTGCGCTCGTGCGTGTCATACCATAGCTCCTAAGCATATTGTCGAACAAGGATTTTTTTTTTTAAATAGAAGAAGCTGTAAGATTGTTGAACACATGAAGATTAATATTTCATTTTCAGACTGTAAGAATATCGTAAATTCAAATCATAGAAGCTATTTTCATTGTTGCGATGATTGTTTTTTTTAATTTGTTTTTAATGTTTAACTTCAGTGATATTAAGTCGTCACAGTGACACTGTAATTTAATGCCATTTTTTAACTTAAGGAAAATAATACAATGTGTGCAAAATAGACTTAATATATTGAAGGCATGTTGCAAATACAGCCATAATCCTATAAGTGTTTCCGTTATTACTCTTCTATCCTCTTGTACCTTTGAAGTTTTTTTTATTGTGTTAGTTTAATATACATCGCTAGACAAAATGTGAGTAAATGATGATTACTGGAGAGAACAGAGTTAATCTAACCCCGTTTTAATTGTATATAATTTAAATATTGATGCCGTTAAGTTACACAGTTGCACATTCTCATCGCTGCACATATGTTTTTCTAAGTAGGAGGCTCAGGGGACTCAGCATTTCATAATTCATTCTGCACAGCTTGTGCAGTTAACCTCATTTATCTGCATTTCACTTGCATTTAAAGTTGAATGAGTTAAAATATTCTGCAGCAGTTTCGTTCTATGTTCACATTAAGTTTCATTTTTTTGTTATGTTTAAATCAGCAAATGTATATATTGTTGCATATTTTAAAATGCTGATTCGGAAGGCTTGTTCTAGATTCACTTGTCTATAGAATGCTTAGTAGTACAGCCCAAGGAATGGCTGTTCTTTTGGTGAATGAAACTGTTTTTCTGTTGTCTGCAAGGTCAGCATACACAGAAGGGCTCAGGTGTAGGGCAGGATTTTTGTCTTCATGTAGACTTGCCACATCTTCCTTTTTGTAATTTCAATTTAATTCGAGTAATTTTGTCCAGTTTTCTTTTTCTCTCTGAAGCTATACTTAACTTGGCTAATTTAAGGACTGCAGTTTGAGCAATGTCTGATTTTGGGCAGTACAGATGGGTTTATTCCTGTGCAAATGTGGCTGTTCATTGAGGTTAATTATCCATAAGGTCCTGACTTACGAGGCTGCTGGAATAGCTGTTAACTATGAATAATTTAGTACAGCATCATATTGCACACCACTTAAGAAGGCCTCTGCCTGTGAATCCTTACTTCTCAAAATCCACTCAATAGTATGAAGGTTACTGCTTGTATTGATATTTTATTTCTTTTTGTTCTATTTTAAGATTTGTCAGTGTACAAAGACAGTGTGTATATTTTATGGTGATAAATAATAAAAATACCTGTGCAAGAGTAGGCATAGTTTGTTTTTGAAAAGTAGAGGTATTGAACTAGTCTTCAGTGTTAAATTGTCTGTTAAATTTATTTTAAATTTTACACTGTCATAATGCAGTTAGCATTTTCTGCACTGAGATTTACGTAGTGGAGACAATTCACATCATAGAATGTACTTTTAGGCAATACCTCATTGTAGGGGAAGGAAAGAGATTTAACGAAAGACTTGCTAGCAAGAGCACAAGATTTCCCTGCTTTCTACAAATTGTCTTAGTTGCTCGTACATCTGGGCAGAGCAGCCTGTGTGTCATATTACAGAGGCTCTTTCAGGAGAAAAACTGCGGATATATAACTTTGAAGCAGTTCCAAGTGCAGATAAAGTTACTGTATGCCTTTAGGAGGCTTAGCACTGGATATGTTTTTTTTAAAAAACAGTAAAACGGTAAGAATTCTGTCATTATCATTAAGTAGCTTTTTCACAAAAGCGCCTCAAAATACTAGGGAAGAGCTTCGTAAAGAAGTTGCTTTGGAAACATCAAGGGAAGAACATGAGGATATGAACATGTAACAGAAGTAGTAGTGAAAAAGTTTTGTTTGGGGCGTTTTGGGGAGAGAGACTGACGTTTTATGATATTTAAGGAAGGTCTGTCAGACGTCTGGGAAGGTTTTTTTTTCCCTTTCTGACTACTTCCAGATTTCTGTTTAGTGTTCCCTTTCTCTATCTCGACTAGTAAGTTTTTCTACGATAAGAAAGAAGGGAATCCCCTCCTGAGAAAAACAGGAGACAGATTTTTCAGTCCTTTTGCAGCGTTTTTAGAAAGGATTCTGGTGGTCTATTTTCACCCCCTTTAAAAGTCACTTCTAAAAATGACAGTGGATGCACGTTATTCTCCTGCATAGCATCAGCAGTGGCACCTGATGGACAGAGGGCTGGTGAGAATGCACGTTCCTGTTCACGAGGATGCTCTGTTATAGCTGTATGTATCTTAACTCATCTTTAGAATTGTTTTGTAGGACACTTCCAGCCTCGTTTAGAAAGCAGAACTTTTTTTTTTCCCCCAAATGAGATTTGCTGTAAAATATGTGATGCTGTTAGAAGTTGACATGGTGACGTACAGTCATCCCTTGGTGCCTGCTTCAGCGATTGAAGATAAAACAGACCTTTTATCTTTTTCTGCTCCTTCACAGGGTAGTAAGTAATTTAGGTGTCCCTTAAGGGTTGGTAGTTAAATGTTAAGATCTTGCTAGATGTTTTTATTTCTCTTTAAAGGCGAGGATTCAGATCAGTCCCTTTGAACGGGCACTCTTTGAGCTGTACATTATGGGGATGTTTTAATAAACTCTCAAACCTGTAATAGTTTTGCAGTTTACTACTGGCTCAACTGATACTTTCATGGAAATACAGCTTTGTTTACAGGTGGGAAGGACTCAGTATGTTGTTCATCTGGTGTAAAATTTTTAAGGCTGTTTATTTTCAGAGATTAAAATTCAACTGAGAATTAGTGGGACTTTCCTTACTCCAGAGCTTTTTGATCTGTGTTTTAATTGTCTTCTCTCTGCAAATGCTTTTTATGTTGAAATAAGCTATAGTTTACCTTACTAGACAGCCATGAAAAGTCGAATTGCCATTTTTCCTGATTCGAGTGATAAAAGATGTCAGTGTTCTATGCATGGTGCGTACTCCTGCTTTTCTGGTACGCATCGTGCGCTCGTATTCGTCAGGTTCTGATACGTCTGGAGTCTGATGATCTCAATTGCTATAAATCATTAATGGTATCTTACATCTGTGGGTGGCTGTTGCTGGGTTTGTCTGAATCATGAACCTGGGTTGCACATCTCCTCCTTCGGAAAAAAGCAGGTCACCTCCTGTTGCTGGGGTCCAAACATTAAGGCACTGTGACCGAGGGAGGGCACAGAATATCTCACCCGCCCCCGTTACCTTTTTCGCTGCAGCACGTAGCACCCAGTGGTTAAACGTCCCTGCGCGTGGCATGCCTCTGCAGATGGAAAAGGTCATCTGCTCCCTGCAGCCACTGAAGATAGTAGGTAGGTGGGAGGGAAGAGAAGATGGAAGGCTATACATTTGTCTACCCAAGCTCCCTGATATCCGTGAGGAAGTTCCACTGCGAATGTGTGCACTATGGCTGCAATAGTTGTGGCAATAGAAAGGAAGAAGTGCCTGAAGGACTGATTTTTTTTTTTTTTTTTTTTAATGTATGATTTTATTGGTGCTGTGTGCAAGAGCAAGCTATCCCCCAAACCTAGAGGTGTGGGAGGAAACAGACTATGAAGTTAATTCTGCCTTTTATTTTGGTGTTTAAAATAAACTTCCCACTGTTGCTTTTGAAATGTGTCAGTTAAAAAAATACTATGTGGCTGATGGCATGTCATTGTTTTGATACAATCTGTGAACGGACCTTTATTAAATCTGTGATATTTATTGTTTCTTGTTCAGCTTTTTTCAAGTGGTGATTTTATGCAATGGCATCAAGCCACAGTTCTTCACCAGTGCCTCAGTCAAACAGCAGTGATGCTTTCTTTAAAAAAGAAATGGATGCCACGAAATGCTTTCGACCTGTGCAGTCGCTGCCTGATGTGTGTCCCAAGGAACCTACAGGTAATGTCGTTGTGAAAGGAGAGTGAAAATGCAGTTAAATTTGCTAATTCGTTTACAGTTCATCCAAATTTTTTCGTGTGCTGGGTGTAGTGAGTCTTGTTTCAAAGTGTGCTGTAATTCTGCTTTATACCACCCAGTGTCCCTTTGGAGCAATGGGAGAGCCTTCCTGTTTGCAGCTTGGTTTTAGATGGGATCTTACTTGTGTGATTCCATGTTACAGCTATGATCCATACTACGTGCAAGAAAAGTGTGAATGCACCACTGTGTTCAAAACTCGTGTTGGTTAATCTCACAGAAGAAATGCAAATTGAAGTGTTGCAGAAGGAGAATATCATGCGTCTTTTTGCATAGATAATTCTGATCCACTGTGTAACTGTGGAAACATGGTTTGCTCAAGAACCACATTTTAGCAAAAATGCAATTTTCAGTTTCTCACCTTAACAAACTGTCTTGTCTTTTGTGCTGCAGGCGATCCCAGTAATTTATGTGACAGCCCATCTCTAGTTGTGGATCAGCACAGATGGACTATTTATCATTCCAAAGTCAATCTCCCAGCAGCACTAAACGATCCTAGGTTAGCAAAAAGGGAATCTGATTTCTTTACAAAAACATGGGGAGTGGACTTTGTGGACACTGAAGTCACGCCTTCATTCTACCTCCCACAGATCACCAAGGAACATTTTGCATTATACCAACAGGAAATCACGCCGGTAAGAACCCCAGATTAGATGCACGTAGTACTGGGGGCCAGAAAGAGATTTGAGATCCTTCTTCTAATTGAAGATTGTCCTTGTTAGTAGTTCCTCATACAGTTAGCTGATAATTAATTTGTTCTTCAGAGCTTGTCGGCTTTTCACTAGGCATTTCTTGTTTTATAACCTCAGTGTTCGTAGTATGGAAAATGCTGTCTAAATTCTCTCTAGGCAATTTCACTTTTTTTTTTTTCCATTTGTTTTTCTGAATACTGAACTCTGCACCAGGGCTTACAGTTCATATCTATTCTGACTAGTTCTTAATCTTTTTTCTGTAAGGATTGTTTGATGATTGACTCAGCAGTACAACATAGCATTTTCGGACCTTCGGATCAAATACAAAACATGACTATGTGCTGTAAAGATTGGAGAGATTTTTAAATGTCTCTAATTTAAACATTTATACATTCAATTCTTAAACTATAAATAGGGCTATTATCGCAATGATTTCTTTTGTAACAGGAAAGTTTAAGCTACATAAGGACACCAGGACCAGTAGGAGACTTCTACAAACTCTTAAAATACAGATGTCAGGAAATATGTAGTAGTATTTTTATTTTTTCTTAACTGGAAGAACATGTAGAAGTCTCCCACTGTTTTCTGCTTCCTTGGTTTGTAACTCTCATTTTTTTTGCTGGTACAGAATTTACTTGTGTAAATCATACTTAAAGTGTGTAAAAAGGAATTGTTTGTAGCTGAACCATTGCCATTAGTTCACACATTCAACATTTAAAATATTTTAAGAGTTCATCTGTTAGCATGTAATGCAGTGATTGCAAAATGAAAGAAGGTTTGGGGAAGAGGGAACTGACCCGTTATGTAGCTTCTAGCAGAGATCTGCCTGACATCAGTGGTCTTTAGAAACCTAATTTCTTACCACTACCGTCTCTGGTGGTATTTACACCTGTAGATAAAATTTGAAGCCCAGCATGATGAAACAAGACATGTGGTGTCAGCAGGGTGCTTGTTAATAAGATGTGGAAGCAATATTTACTGTGTTTTGATTTAATTTAGCAAAGAAAAAGCATTCGCTGTACCTTAGTGTGATTTCTGGATTAGACAGCAAATAAATGGTTGGATATGTAATTACAATTGCTCTATCTTATTATGTAGAGAGGTTATTACTTCTCTTCAATAACTTTTGTGTTCGTTTTCTTTTGAGATGTAAAGAAATTGACAGAACAACATGTTGACCAAAAATTTCAACCTATGGTACCTTTCACCTGAACAAACATCATCTGAGTTTTTAAGAGGCGAAAAAAGTGTTGTTGTGAACTTGTCAGGATTATTTGGTGTAACGCAGTATGTGTCACTGAAAATGTTCTGAGTGTTCTGTTTCAAAGAAAAAAAAATCTTTTTAAAGTCTCAGAGTAATTCTTTAATATTAATTTTCTCTTTAACAGAGAGAGAAGGTTCATGAAAGATGCAAGAATATTTGTACTCCTAAAGATACCTTTGACAGGACTCTCTTACATACCTACGGTACAGTCAAAGCCTTCCTTTAGTTGTTAAAAAGTAATTTCTTTAATGAATGCTATAACATACTGATCATCTCCTTTACTTGTTGAAGGGCTTCATTTGTGAAAAAAGCTGCTGGTGAATGATAATTGAAAACCCAGACGTGGTTGACTAGAAGAATTCATGACCACTGCTGATATCTTATAGGTCAAAATGCTTGTGATACCTGCTCTTAAGCTTTTCCGTGGCATCTTTGCATTCATGGCAGGTCATTATGTCCCTGGCAGTGTTTTCTTCAACTTCCTTTTATTTAAGATCCGTTGAAACTGTCGCATGAAATTTCTAGCAGCTGTTGACCTCTGCGTTGAAGAATGGCAGCTCTGGGCCATTTCTGTCCCTCTGCCATGAGGATCATGGAATGGCTGAGGTGGGAAGTGATGTTTCAAGATGATCTAGTCCAGCCCACCTGCTCAAGCAGTCACCTACAGGAGGACAATGTCTGGCTGAGTGTTGATTTTGTCCACGGGTGGAGATTACACAACCTGTCTGGGCAGCCTGTTTCAGTGTTTGACCACCCTCACAGTGAAAGTGTTTCCTTACATTCAGATGGAGTTTTTCGTGTATCACTTTTAATGCCCATCGCCTCTTGTCCTGTCAGTGGGCACCACTGAGAAAAGCCTGCTCTGTCTTTACACCCTCTTATCAGATGTTTAAAAACATGGGTAAGATTCCCCCTGAGCTTTTCTAGGCTAAACAGTCTCAGCTCTCTCAGCCTCTCCTCCTATGAGGAGGAGACCTCTCCTCTGGTCTCTTATTCATATTTGTGTCCCTTTACTGGGCTCAGTCCAGTATGCGTAGGTCTGTCTTGTACAGGGAAGCTCAGAACTGGGCATGCTGCTCCAGATGTCTCACCAGTGCTGAGTGGAGAGGGAGGATCACCTTCCCTCAACCTGCTGGCAATTCTCTGCCTAATGCGACCCAGCATGCTTTGCTGCAAGAGTGCAGTGCTGGCTTCTGGTCAGTTTGTTCTCTACCAGGACCCCAGGTCCCTCTCTGCAGGGATGCTTTCCAGCCACCAGACCTCTAGTGTGTACTGGTGCTTGGGGTTATCACTCTCCAGGTGCAGGACTTTACCTTTTCCTGTGTTGAACTTCATGAAGTTCCACGCTGGCCAGTTCTGTGGTTAGGATTTCTCTGATTACTGTTAGCAAAGATGACCTGGAAAACGTTTTTTGATGTCTGCAGCTGTAGCAAGGCTGAATTTCAAGGTTTTGTGGAAGTAGTTCAGCTAATATGAAACTAGACAAAGGAAGGCAGGAGGCAAAATGAAAAGGAAAAGAAACACTTATAACCTGGAGCAAACTTTTGATAATTTATTTTAATTTATTTTCTCAAAAACGTTAGCATAAAAGGGTTCATTTGCCAATTACTGTTTGATCAGGTGTGTCTATACGAATGTCTACAGGTAATGCAGCAAGAAGCATTCAGTAGTTTACTCCTTTTGATCAAGTTCTTTCAATTGGCTTTCTTTCTTCTTTTCCATGTGAAAGGAAGCCCTTCTGTAGAGTTACCAAGGCAACTGGGAGCTTCTTGGGTAGATGGACAGTTCCTAGTAGAAGCATCATTTAGTAACCTGAAATTCTGTAATTTCTGTAGTTTTTTATTAGCGTTGCCTGTCTTCCTCTAACTTCAGCCCACAAGACTTGGCCTTCCACTTCCGTAAGAGTTGGTCTGTCCAAAGACTGAGGACAGCAGGGTGATTCCTTGGTTGTCTTTTGTATTTCAATACAAATAAAGTAAAAAACAAATAAAGTAAGAACCGAAGAGGTGAGAGGAATGTGGGAGGTAATGCTGATGTAGCACTTTCCATGTTTGTCAGTAGACCATGAGTAGACCATCCAGCTGAGGTATGGGCTTGCTGTTTCTAAATTCCTTATCTTTTTGGTAAGGAATTTAGAAAAAGGAATTACCTTTTTTCTAATTCCTTACCTTTTTTGGCCTCTGATGTGCCCCCACTTCATGATGCACACTAAGTTAATGAGCAGGGGAGGAAAAGGTGATTTTGGCTGAATCTCAAAAGTCTGAATTTGCCTTTTCGGGTTCTGCTGGGGTACAAGGATGTACCTCTTTTCCCAGCTCAACTGTCTTACCCCCTGCAATTGTCTGGTCAGCTTACTTCGAGGGAAGGGCTGCTTCTGTGCTGCTTGCTCAGTGTTTTCGGGACTCTGTCCTGAGTCCTCATTCATTCTTCTTGCTAGTCTTTGCGCATCCATCCTCTAAGTGCTGTGCAGAAGTGATTATGTGAGCAGCTTCAATCTGGGGTGTTAAAATTGGGGTGATGTCAGAGAGACCTTTTACTGGCCCTTGCCAGTTGACTGAACAGTGCATTGAAGAATGCGAAGTGCTAAGTAAATTGCTTCGTATGACTAACATTTTTGCTGTCAAAGCAGCCGAGTGCAAGCACCGTTGAATACTCTTGAGCATGAGACCTAAACTAGAAAGCACAACAGAGTGTTTCAAAGCATCAGAATATTTCAGGTTGGAAGGGACTTCAGAAGGTCTTTATTGCAACTGCCATCTCAAAGCCAGTTCAGCTGTGAGGTCAGGCCAAGCTGTTTAGGGCTTTATCCAGGCCTTGAAAACCTCCAAGGAAGGAGAGTATCGAGCTTCTCTGGGCAGTTTGCTCCAATGCTTGATTGTCCTCACGGTGAAAAGGTTTTCCTTGTGTTCAGTCACAACCTTTAATTTTAATTTATAACTGCTGTTCCCTGTGTGTCCCCTGTGAGGAACCTGGCACCGTTGTCTTGAAAATGTCCTCATAGGGTTTCATAGAGTTCAAGGTAATTGTTTTCTGTTGTTTGCTCATGAATGACTACTTGTGTTTTGTTTGATTTTAGATAAATCCAGGACAGATCTGGAACAAGTACCTAAGGTATGGTTCCTGTTAAGCTTTTATAAGGATTTCTCACGTGTAGTCTTGAATATATGAATGTACTCTCTTTGTAGAAATTTTGTCCGAGCTGATTACTTGAGCTGATTCTCAAGAGGATCTGCAGTGCTCAGAATTTACATAAACTAAGAACAATCTGCTTTTTCTCTCTTTTTGTTGTTGTTGTTTCCTATGGTCTTGATTTTTGTCTCACTTAAAGTAGAATACAAATGCCATTAATTCTTTCATCTTCAATAGTTAAAACCTCAGAGCTGGGCAAAATTAGCCACTCTGTGTTCTAGGAGGGAAAGGAGACTGAAGAGTTTGATAGAAGCTTGAATATTTCATAGTGTACAACTTAGCGTTAGGTTTAACTGCTTGAATCCTTGAGCAAAGCTGTCTTGCATGTATGCTTGTGGCGTGTATGATGTCTTTTTTTTTGTGATGGGTTGACAAAAGACACAACTCCAGATTCCATTTCAGTCTGAATAATTTTTTCTAGGTACATTAAGAAGTCAGAATGTTAATATGGGTCAGCACCTCTGTGCCAGTTGTGTAGGCTGTTACTTAAATAGCTGTCACTGCAATGTTTAAAGTCCAGGAAACAAGAACATTTGAGTGTGGTGTGATGCTATAGTCCATGTTGAACCTTTTAAAATTACACTTCATAAATACGGGGAAAAGGATACTAATGTCTGCCTGGAAGCTCAAGGTTTATACCAGTTTTGTCAAGTAAAAGTAAAATTATCAGAGAGAATTTTATATTAATAGTTCTCTGAGATGTGTAGTGTTAATTTACATTTTACTGACTCTTTCTGTGACCAGCACATTTGCTGCACTGTGCTAAAGGAGATCAGTTTGAGGCTCTGTTCCCTCCCAGGCAACACTTGCTGCACCCTAACAGCTGGCTGGATCCTCAGTCTGGCAGAAGCTATGGCCCCAAAAATGAGTACATCAGCAGTAGGATGCCCCTGCTATTTAAGAACGTTTGCTCTGATCCTTTAGAGGATACACCTGCAGTTTAATGCTGCCTACGTTTTCACCTTCAGGATGTTTAGATCATCTTGGGTGCTTGGTAACCTCTGTAATTTTGGAGCTGTGACTTCCACTCCTAGGAAGATAAGACTTTGTCAGATCACACAAGCTTTTAAGGTGTAAAGTAAACTGGTTGTAAGGTCTGGAATGAATTTGTTTGTGTGGATAAATGAAAATTTGGTTTTTGAAAATCAACAAATAAGGTCCCTGTTAGCTTCATGAGACAGGATGTGTGTTTAACTGGGAGGAAAATGTAGGAGCGAGGGAGGTGCATTTATTTATTTTGTTTTTCTGTTTCAGATTTTTATGAAACCAGATTTTGCCTTGGAAGATTCCTTAACATTTAATGCCGTCTTACCATGGTCTCATTTTAGTACTGCTGGTGGAAGAGGAAATCGTGATGCAGCTTCCTCCAAGTTACTTCAAGAAAAGGTACAACTTTAATACAAGATGTCGTTACCCGTCGCAGCTGTTACTTACTTCAAAGAAACTCCATTGCAGCTGTTCTGCTTTCTGTTGAGACATCACTGTTGTGGACTTTGTTATCTGTCCTTTTACATCAAGCTGCAGATTGTTAGTAAACAATGCAGAAGCATCTTACTGAAAGAGAACTCTTTTCTCCGTGCTAAGTAAATCTGACTACCAAATCTGGAAAAAAGAATCTGTATTTGGCATAATAACTGCCTCTTCATGACTGCTATAACTTAGTGAAGGAGGTCTATATTGAGAACTTAAGAGTTGTGGAGCTGTTTGTTAGGGAGGAAGAGCAATCCCATGAGAAGGGAAAACTGGAGGTTGTGCGCCGTTTAAGACTATTGCTTTCTCACTTCTCAGGAAAACTCCAGATTCAAGGCACTCTGGTTTCTGTGCTAAAGGAAATGCTAAATCCTAAGGTTTTTGTATGTCATGTCATCTGGAAGGATGAGTTTTTTGCATTTCATAAAGGATTTGAGTGCATTAAAGAGCATGAAAGCAGAGCTGTTTCTTTCATATTGGAAATAGAAGTCTTGATTTTTTTTTTGTTAGTTATGTAGTCACACTGTAGAAAATCAGTTAATCATTTTAATGGTGCAAATATCCATAAAATGCTGATAGAAAATCTATGTAATTTTGTAGTCTGTTTTCTAGCGTTAATTATCCCTCCTGTTCCACCTACTAAAGCTTCTAGGAGCTAAGGAGGGGGAAAAAAAAAAAAAAAGAAGAAATTAAAAAGTAGTGAAGTACCTTAAGAAAAAATAACATGAAATCTTCCAGAAGGTGTTTCCACCTTTTCTGGAGTTAGTCTTCCTGCTCTTCCACCAGGTCAGGAGGAAGAGACAGGCTCTGCTGGAGGCTAACTTGACCCTTCATTGGTTTGTCCTCCACACCTAAAGTTGGAGGAATAAGTCTTTGGAGTTTCCTGTGGCAGTTGCTGTCTGAACATGAAAAACAGTGTCTGGCACATGCTTTAAACTGGCAGCAGCAGGATGGACACTCAACACGGACTTTGAGCGAAGGAGACCCAGAGCCCTCTCTGATGCAGTGGAGTGAAAATAAGGCTTTGAATAGCCATGAGCCACGCTTCTTTGGAGAGGTGATACAGATACCTAAATAGTATAGAACAGTTCTGTTTCCTCCAAAGCCACAGCCGCATGCCTGACAAACCAATGATTACACTGCTTTGTATTACTGAAATGGGCCCAGATTTTGTTGTTTTACTTTTTAAAGGCTCTGATCTGCACGAGTGTAATTTACACTTACAATGTGTAAATAAGCACTCTAGTGCCATAATTATTCTCAGCTCCAGGCACCGTTTTTCAGCAGGATTTTGAAAACCCTGCCTTAAGCACACATACTTAGGCTATTAGTGCTTTTGGACTGCTGCTGATCTCCTTGAACAATTTACCTGTTTTTCTCTTCCTTACCTCCTTCCATGTCTTGCCCTACATTGGGACTGTAAGCTCTTTGAGGCAGGTACTGTCATTTCGTTCTGTTTGTTCTGCTTCACTTAGCGTAGTGAAGGGACTTCAGGCATCTAGTTGGTACAATCACATAAATAAATGATCATCATAACCCCTTCTCTGATCCCTGGGTCACTGTCTGTCTTAGCTTTTCCTGTGGGCTAGGTGTGACACAGCTGGTTGGTGGAGGATGTTTTTGATTAAACGTATTACAAAAAAGATGGGTTTGCATATTGTGTAGATCTCCAGTATTAAATACACGCAGGATGAAAATAACTATAAGAAGGAAACATTCTCCAGCTGATTTTCTTTCTATCTTTAGATGGGCCTTTTGAAATTCTGCATGAGGTTTGAGTGCTTGGCACCTCTTGGAAACCAGGTCATCTGAGTATTAGCATTCAGATGAGCATCCTAATGCCTCAGCCCTTTGAGTTTACATATTCAGCATACGCCAGAACACAGAGCTTTTACAGCTCAAATAATCAGGTGAACCCAGTGGTCTGGTAACTGTTCAACATAGAGAATTTGAATTTCAGGTTCTGAACGTAACAGGCATACTCTTGTCTCTGGGAATGCCACAGTGCCAGTGCACGTGAAATACACTGCCGCCAGAGACGTCCCGAGGATTTTTCTACGAAGAAGATACTACAGCCTTTGAAATGAACAGAGGCATTCCAAAGCCTTGTCATCAAGTGTAGCTGGGCTGCATTTTTAGTAGCTTCAGTGACCCAAAGTGTACATAGTGTATTTGCATATGTATGCTCTTCTTACTTGCAAGCCAGCATCCAGAGCTGTCTCCTGGTTAATGGCCATATTCTGACAGTGCCAGCGTGCAACCATGTGGTACAAAACCTTGGGTATTTTAAAATTAATTGCTTTTCTACCTTGTCATTTTCAAGCAGAAGAGGCATCAAGTCAGCCTTCCCAAAGTGATTTTGAGCTCATTTAAAAACAAATGATCAAACCACAATGGGTAGTTATTTGCTTACTAATCTGACAAAGGCTTTTAGTTTTCATTAAGAAAATTTCTTTGTGATACAGTAAGACAAATACCCTGAAAGTGTATTTGCATAGTGATAAACTCGCCGAGTTGTAACAACACTGGTTGTTTTTTCTCCTCCCTCCTCTTTCTAGCTGAGCCATTATCTGGACATTGTGGAAGTCAATATTGCCCATCAGATTTCTCTGCGCTCAGAAGCATTTTTTCATGCAATGACCTCTCAGCATGAATTGCAGGACTACCTCAGGAAAACCTCCCAGGCTGTAAAATTACTTAGAGAGAAAATCTCCAAAATTGATAAAGTAATGTGTGAAGGATCACTTCGAGTTTTAAGACTGTCACTCACCAGAAATAACTGTATAAAAGCATACAATAAACTGAAATTAATGGCTACTGTGCACCAAACACAGCCCACAGTACAGTTGCTGCTATCCACTTCTGAGTTTGTTGGAGCCTTGGACTTAATAGCAACAACACAGGAGGTGTTACAGCAAGAGCTTCAAGGCATTCACAGTTTCCGGTAGGTAACTATCTAGGAAATGAATAAAATGCAAGTAGAACTAGAATGTGTTGAGCACATTATGTTGGCTGAAGGGGTTTGTTTTATCTTTGTTCTTTCTCGGAGGACCTAGTACAAAATGTAAGTGTGGCATACACAGTGTGACTAATGCATGTGCCAGAGATGATTGTTGTTTTTTTTTAGGAGGGGACGAACTTTTAACATCTAGATGCTTTGTGCTCCATTCTTGTCTACAGGTGTTTTAGGGGTGCAGAGGTGATATCCAAGCAGTGGCTGGACCTTCATCTTGTAGAGCTTGTAGCTCACAGCTGAGAGAGAGAGTTTCCAAGTGGTGTTCTGTGATCCTCATGCATGCAGCACCCCAGAGATTCTTTCTGCACAGCTCCACTCTGGTTCTTGCTACGCAGCTCCACTCCAGGCCTGTGTCTTTAGTGACTGACCTAGGCTTGTGGTGTTACAGGAATATACACGGACCATGTGTCAAATAGGTCAGCCTCCAGCCTGTGCTTGTGCTGGAGGAAGCTTTGCAAGCGAAAGCCAGTGCAAAGCTGTCAAAGCATGGCTCAAAATTGGTCAGATGGGATGTGTTCAGCCATGTCTGCTCTCATGGAGAGCTGTCTTTACAATGGCCAGGGGGTGCTTCCTCTTGCTCCATCCGACTGAGAAATCCGGTTCTGTGAGCTGCTGAAGTTGGGAAGGGAAGAAACAGTGGGAAGGTGCTGCCCAAGCTGCTGATGCTACTATTTTTTCCCCATGTTTGCTACAGTGATGGGAATTACTGAGTCCAAGGTCCTGTTTTGGCTGCTTCCGCTAACAGTGGATGCTTAGAGCTTGACTTGGGAGGTGCTCTTGCACTGGGCAAAGCCCTCTGTGATGTGCAAGAGTTAATACGGTAGAATCCTTTTAGCTAGTGTAAAATAAGCCATCATAACCACCACACGCAGTTTAAAAGTGTTGTATGCAAAGCTGCCACTGTGGTATGATGCTATCAGAAGTAGGGTGTGTTAAATCAGGTCTGAGACTATCATCATCAGCCAGTTGAGGAGCTGCATACTTAGTTTTGTAAGTTGATGTTGGGGGTGGTTTTGTTTTCTTTAGAGGTTATGTGGTTCCTACAACACCCTGGTGGTCCCCAGCTTGCATAATAAAAGCATGGTTGTTGCTCAATAACTGTAATGTGAATATTCAGAACTTTGTACGGTTACTACTCTGTCTGTTCTGATGAGCTCCTTTTCCAACACCCCTTCTAGCTGGTTTGGAAACAGACTCGAATTTTACGTAGAAAAGAGCTTAGAAAAAGTCTTTTAAAAATATATAAAAAAATTAAATTAAAAATTAAAGACCTGACAAACTGTTGGAAGGAAAGTTGTTAAAGCTGTTAGTCTTTTAGCTTAGATGGTCCGTCTTCAGACACCTCAGTGTGGTTTCTTTCCTCTTCACTGTTCCTACTCTCAACCATTTGATTATGGTGCAGAGCCCTTGACTGAGTCACGTTTGTATTTACCTTGATGATAGTATGTGCACTTCTACAACCCTGTGACAACATCAATGGCAATGAGTTGTGTTTTGCAATTGAGTAAGCTCCCTGCTACATCAGCAGAGTGCAATTCTGTTGTCATTGTGGTTGGTACACTTGATGTCCCAAGAGCGTACTATTGTTTTAAAATTACACTCAGATATGGATCATGTTTGCAGGTAAATGTTCACCTTGTCTGTAACAAGTAATTTCTATGAACAATGCTTAGTTGGTTGCTTTGGTAGAGTAAAAATAGTGATGTGAGGGGGAAATGCCCCCTCTGCTTTGGATATTAAAAGTTCAGAAAAGTGATTTAAATGCAGCTTAACTCATCACCCGCCCTGGAGATGCAAGTGCAGTTGAGAAGCCCAGAATGGTTGTTCCCAAGTCTCACAGTGGCCTGTATGTATAGCGTGTCTGGAGAAATAATGTGCAATGGAGAGATAGAAATCTGGATAAAACTTTTCAGTAGAATGTTGTGTTTCTTAAAATAAATCTAAATTGATGGCATACACAAACGTTTCCGCTTTTTCCAAGACATACCAAATGGATGCTATTGCTTTGTTCTGAGCAAGAATGCTGCAATTGTCAAGTGAGTTAAATACCTGATTAGCTTCTAAATCAGTATCTCATTTTTCTAAATAATTAGTATCTCTTTTTTTTTCCCCTAAATAATTTGTATCTTATTTTTAAAACTTGTTGCTTCAGTGTTGTGCATGAAAGCTTGTAGAATTTGCTTTTGAACAGACAGCTTTAAATTGAGTCATGTCACAGAATCATTCAATATAAAGCAGCAAGAAGACTACTGGGATCATCCATATACAAAAAAAAAGTCTATTCTTGTTATCCTGTACATAGAAAAAATATAATTTAATTGTACTTACAGCAAAAACTGAAGGCACCTTAGTGGTGCTGTGAAGGAATAAATTGGTGTCTTTAGTCTTGGTTAATATCCCCAGTGATTGCATGTATCAGTCGTAACTGTGTGATTATTGCTTGCTACTACTATAGGATAGAATTAAAATTGTAGAGCTCTTTGACCTTTTAAAGTTCATCTTTTTTAATTTTGCCAAAAAAAAAGGTATTTAATGTTTTAACGAAATTACAAATCTCTACTGCCAGTTTTTACGTTGTTTTCAGAGTCCTTGTTGGGGTGATGGAGATACAGCATTTTTTTTTTTTTTTTGCACAGATATGCTGGCAAACCACACTTTTATACTCTTTTTTTTTTAATACAGTAAAACATAGGTACTTGGAAAAATATTTCTCATTGGTATTTTAAAAGCATTTTTACCCTGCACTCATAATTTTACATCAGAGAATTGTAGTATTCAGCCATTGAAAGGACCTGATGCGTGACTGGTACCTCTTAAGAGGTAATTGCCAGCGCATTGCACTGGAGTATGAATTAAAGTTTGACTTGTTCCTGTGTGTTTCAGGGTGGAGGGGCATTTTTGTTGTTAGGGGCTAGAACATCTCGGGTGAAGTGGTGGCAGCAAGTGCTGGGAACTCTTGTTGGACACTTCCATACCTGAGGTTTGAGAGGGTAGGTTACGTTGCGTTTCAACGGAGTCAAGCACGATTACAGAAATAATTTACTGAAGAGCAAAAAAACTTACCTAAGAAGGAGCATTTGTGTTGTGGGTGTTAGTCCTACAGTAAGTTTTGCAACTCCAGTCATTACATTGCAAATAATAATCTTTATTTTTTTTCTTTTGGGTTCGTTTTGAAATGTCTATGATGCAGCTGACTTGGATTTTCTAGAGGCCATTTTTGTTTAAATTTAGTGTTTGAAATGTGTCCACTTTGTCCATTCCAGACAATTCTTGATCAACAATTTCAAAAGCAGGCACATTCCTGATTGTCTTAAAATTAAATTAAATTAATCTGCTGAACTCAGATCCAGCAAGATTAATTCAGTTCAGGCTTCTGGACTTCTGCAGGGAGAAGCTACGCTGGCATGATGCTTCCTCACACCCTGTCACTGACTTTGCTCTACATGGGTTGCAAGGCTGGATCCCGTGGGCTTCGCACTGATACAGCAGTGCTCCTAACAGGGAGTTTTTGCTGCTCTACGCAGGCTAACGTCCAGCTACACCAGCGCTGAGTTAAAACTAGTGAGCCATGTGGGTTCATCCTCCCCATTTTGTATCCAGATTTATATAAAATATCGCAGCTGCTCTTAATTCTTATTGGCAAAGTGTCTATTTTTTTTTTTTTTTTTAAAAAAAAGCAAAAGCAGTCTGAATTTTACAGATATTTGGTGATTAGAGCTGTCGGTGGAAGTTGCAAAGCCTGGAGTGTTTGGCATCTCTGAAATTCCCACTTTTAATTTTATTCTGCTAAAAGTTTCTCTAGCTGTACAACTTTTAAAGACTGGTTTGACCTTTCCGATTTGAGAAGTTCCCTTGTGGTTCTGTATGCCAACAATCTGCAAAATATGGTTTAAAATCTGCAATACACGGAAAAAATATTTCTATTTTGGAGTAGCATAAAACCAGCAAATTTGAAAACTCTTCTGTATTCTCTGAAAGCCATCCTGTCGTGTAAAGCTATTACTGTATCTCAGTCATGTGAATTAAATCTGTGACCACATTAAAAGCTCAAATGTTTGAAGTGAAAAAACTTCCGGACTGATGAGTTGAGGAACTGGACAAGCAAATAAGTATTACTTCTTTTAACACCTATATACTGACAAGCACTGAGTATTCTTGGTTCTGGTTCACTTCGTTGGGAAGAAAAGGTACTCAGCACCATCTAAAAAGAAAGAAAAAAAAGCCCTACATCCGATTTTTACCCTCCATCAATATTCAAGTCCATATGTTTTGTTGAAAGGTGATGGTGCCTCTGAAAAATGCATGGTTTCAGCTGCTCTAACAAGTGAAAGATTTGAGTCCCCCATTAAGCCAGCGTTGATTGCATGGAAATTACCTGCTGGGTTGTTGTTTTCTTCAACTGTGAACTAATGATTCGTTTTCAGGTTGATTACGTAGCTCATATCTCGGTGGCTGTTTTTCTTAGGCATCTTGGCTCACAGCTTTGTGAACTGGAAAAGCTGATAGATAAAATGATGATTGCAGAGTTTTCAACTTATGCTCGCAATGACTTAAATAGACCCCTAGAAGATGATTGCCAAATTCTAGAAGAGGTATGTCTGTTCTTGAAATAAGCTGTCTGATGAATATGTTTGCATGTTTAACATACTTAATTAGCACCAACTAATTCACTCAGGTTCCTAAGCAACATTATCATTTTATACTATTTCTCTTCTTGTCCAGCCCGTGTTCCCCCTGTCCTCCCACCTCTTTTGTGCTGGATAAAATTGAATAATTGTAACTAAACTCATGGAACTGCAATCCAGTCATACTTTATATTTTTTCAAAATGATCAATTCTCTTTTATTTTCTGATTAAATGTATAATGAGTTCACTTCATCACCTCAACGTGTATGTGTAAACGAATGTGGACTGTCATATCTACTTGACTGTAAAAATGCAGTTTTGCAGTGAAAGCTGATAGTTGCATGTTGCTCTCATTCTGTCTCCCTGTGCGTTTATGAGCGTTTCTATCAAGTGTATAGTTGCCCTGAGTACGCGCTTTGTTTGCAGTATATATTCCACATTCCTTTGAAAATCATAAACTTTTGAAGGTTAAGCTATTGTGATTGCTTTCTAGCCAGAAAAGATTTTTCTGGATTTTCCCTGTACTGTTCTTCAGTAATTTCTAGACTCTATTTAAACTGTTTAGTCTTGTTTCATGCTTGAGTTTAACGAACTATAACGAATGGCCATAGCACTTAAATGTTCCCATTTTGCCCTTATGGTTTCTTCCCACCTCTGTGCTGCCATGTGATAGATTCTCACTTGTGCTGGCACGATTGTATTTAGTGTCATTCTTGCTCAGGGTAAGGAAACTCATTAGTCTTTAGAAACATCCATGTTTTTAAGCACAATTGGATGAGCAGAACTAAGGAACAGGCATGAGAGGGGCTGGGAGGAAGTGACAAGTGACTCCTTTAGCTGGTATTGCTGTAGGGACCTTCGTGTAGTTAAAGTACAGCATTAGTCTCAAGGCGCTGAACTGATCTAAATCCTGTTCACCATGTGTTTAATACATGAACTTTTTTACTGCTGTGCAATTTCTTGAAATTGTTTCTTGTCCTCACCTTGATTTTTTTTTTTAGTGTGTTTTTTTTTTTAATTTTCTTTTTTCTTCTTGATAGGAGAGACTTGTATCGCTAGTATTTGGACTTTTAAAACAAAGAAAGCTAAATTTTTATGAAATATATGGTAATGAAATGATTATTACTGCAAAGAACATAATTAAACAGGTAAGCTAAACATTTCTAATGTATCTGACAAGGTTGCCTCAACCCCTTACAAATTATTTACTTAAGTAGTTAAGAACAGCTCTGATGAAGTTTTTTGGTGGCTGATGGTCTCTCATTTAGAGCAGCTGAGCTTGCAGACATGAAGGACTTCCTGAAGCACAGAGGTCTGTTTGCAGAAAAGACCTTCTGGAAGGAGTAGGTAGCATAAGTACAGCAGATCACAGCTTTCTCTGTGCAATTACTGGGTTTTTGAATCTCCTGATTTTAGCTTATTTTGTTTCCCTTCCCTTAACACACAGCTTTCCTGAATAGTATAGTTGTGTCATACGCTATGTTTAAAAAAAAACAAACACCAAACAACCAAACCAAAAAAACCCCCAACCACTAAAACACGCCTAAAAGCCCCTCCCAACCCTCTGAAAAACAAAACCCTCAAGTTCTTGGTGTAAATCAAAAAACTTGCCAATTGAAATTGAAATAATCAAATTCCCAACAAATGCTACATTGCTTCCCTGAATGTTAGCACAGACCTAGCATAGGCACATGATAAAAGGCTGGAAAACATCCTTGCCTTTTTCTGAGAGAGCAAGGTGAAGTAAAGGAGGCAGAAGTGCTTGCCTGTAAAAAAAAAACAAAATATATTTTTAAAAAACGAATCCTTGTCTACATTGATGTGGTAGTTTGCCATTTAGAGGATTGTAGCTGTCTTTTCAAACCAAAAATCTTTGTAGATAAAACCAGCTATAACCAACAAATGAATAAAGTTCTGATGACTTCATTGGGGAAAAATGCACGAAATAGTTTGGGCAGTAACATGATAGCTTTTGTTTGCAAACAAAAACTTAGACTGAACTTTGAGCGTGTGTTTGGTACTTTTTAATTTTACTCATCTTGTTTGTTTGCATGCATATGTGAGAATATTTTGTAAGGGGTGTTTTTTCTCCCCTAAGGATATGTGATTATTTCAGGAGTTGTGTTCTGATGTGTTACGAGCCACTTCTGATTTGTGTCTCAAAGGCTGCGAGATAGTCAGGTGGTGGATTTACCATCAGTTGAAGACAGTGTTTCCTGTCTACATAGGATAGCGTGCTGTCCAAAGCTGTGTTGGGAACCCAGCTTTTAAAAGTTTGGAGGAGGAGGATTATTATTATTAGCGTCATGATGATGATGATTTTGGTTTAAGCCAGGTTGGCTCCCCAGGTCCACTTCACATTGTAGCCCCGTGGTTTTGTTGATCTGGTTGTGTAGGACAAGCCTAGGCGCTGGCCAGTGTGGCCAGTAAACATTGTGGCAGAATTAGAAGACAGACAGTGTGTGCAACTGCACCACCACTTCTTGTGAGGACTTGGTGATGATGTGAGCTCTTTCCTCACTTGACCCCGCTACAATTTGTATGATGTTAAGGACTCCTGCCCCTTGCTGCTTGTTCTCTCCCCCCCGAAAGTGATGGGTGCTGGGCTGAGTTGTTTCCTTGCTCCTTGAAAGATCAGCAGAGTGGAAGCGAGCACTACTTTCTAGTCATGCTGTATGACTCTAAGCCTGGAAAAACAAGAGCATACAGCTGTGTGCAGCTGCTCTGGGCCTTCACTTGAGGTGTAACACCTCCCACTCCCCCAACCCCACCCCCGCT